ATTAATTGATTAAAAAGATCATTAACCACATCAATATTACTATTTAATTAATTTTTAAATAAAAAATTAATATCTTTAAATAAAAAAATTAAAAATTTACCTTTTTTTTTAGAAACTAACAAAGTTTATATTCTTAAAAAGAAATTTTGATAAAAATTTATATTATCATCTATACTTTCTTTAAAAATAAATTAAAACAAAACATTTAATACATTAGCAAATTGAAAACTATAACAACTAAATAGATATACTTTTTCATAATTAGTATGACAACTAATAAGATCGAGATAATTTATACTGCCTGACAGTGCATTTGAATAGCTAATTCAAATAAAAACAAGTTCATCAACTGTTTAAATAGTTAAGCGGTCATTTTTTTTCATTAAATATAAGAGATCTTAAGTTTAAGTGACATAACATGTAAATAAAATAAGATAAAAAATAAAAGGTGATTATCTTTCATTACTGTATAAGTAAGATTAAAAATAAAAAATAAAACCAAGTTCTTATAAGTTGCACAGTAAGTTCTTTCAAGTTGAGCTAGCGAATCAGATCTTTAGGTTAAATGGTTCAATCTCAAGTCTTAAGTGTTTGGGTGAAGTGGTCGGAGCTTTGAATTCCACCACCATCGTGAACTTTACCAAAAAGCAACTTAATGGCCGTATATCTCATTTGAGGGAGCGAAATGTACACCCAGTCTAAGGACAAGTTGCTAACAATTAACTCATATTAACTTACTAATCATTAATCTTGTCAAAAAAAAAAAAAAAGTTGGACTGGGGGAGCTACTAGGTGCCTGCAATATATAGCATTCGTACGTTGCTGTGGTTTCATCATTTAGGTCTCCACATGGGGCCCAACAATTCTCAATTCAATAGCGGAATGGCAAAAACCCTTATCAAGCCCCTCAACTTTTTCAACACCGAGTGAACTTTTTCAACACCGAGTGACAAGCCCCTAAACTAAAAGGAGCGCAAATAATAATCCCTCCAACCTCGTGTTCGTAGGAATGTCAACGGAGTCCAGCGGGGTCGGAGAGTCTCCATCCCACGAATGACGGGAATGAGGATCCTCGCGGAGATTTTTAACAGAGGTAAATTTTGCCTCCATCACCGTTTCTCGTGAGGATTCCCATTCCTCACCAATTAATATAAAAAATAAATTTTTTATATATAATTAATTAATATTCAATTATAATAAATAAAATTCTAAAAATTCAAGTATAATTAATTAAAATTCTTTAAATATAAATTATCTAAACATAAATAAAGATCAATATAATATAAATAACTAAAAGGTTAATAATAGATTGGATAAAATTGAATTAAATTTAAATTTTATTAAATTAGATTTAAGTTTGAAGGTTGAATTAAATTTAAAATAAAATTAATTTATATATTTTTTTAATTTTTCGCAGAGATGGGGATCTCCGTAGAGCGGAAAAAATTTCTCACAAATTTTCACGAGGAGAAAATACTTTCCGTTCTCGTCCCACAAAAAAAAATATTCCTTCTCGTCCCGTCCCCATAATGAGAATCTCCACGAGGTCCCACGGGGATCGGGACAAATGGTCATCTCTACCCCTTCAGTGCAAATCAACCCCTTCATTAACTAAGTCCGTGACACCATTTGTTACTGGCTTGCGTGGCATTGCACGTCTTCACATATTTCTTTCTTGTTTTTACTTCATCTGTTTTAGGGGTAATATATTTTTAATTAATTATTTTTTAAGTAAATTAATTAATTAATTAATATTATACAATATTGATATGCTTAGGTGACATTTTTTACTAAAATAATGACATTTTTTTATTTTAATTAATAATGTATTTTATTTCAATAATACCTATAATTAATAATGAAAAAAATGTCTTGTATGATATAAATCAAGATGTCTTGACACTTTAAATGATAAAACTCTTTGTAAAATTATTTAAATACTTTTAATGAACATTTTTTTAATAATTCACTAAAGGTATTCTAGTCTTTTTATTATCATTTTTTTGGTATTTTAATTGTCTTTTAAACAATTTTGAAACATAATTAAAATATCAAAAATGATAATGTAAAGATTAAAGTACTTTTAGTGAATCAATAAAGAAATATTCATTAAGGGTATTTAAATAATTTTTTAAAAAATCCTAACATTTAAAATGCCAAGACATTTTAATTTTTGCTCTTAGGTACACTTTTTTGTCATTAATTTATATAAAAAATATAAAAACTGATATTAATTTTAGGGTTATTGTCACATTGATAAATTAAAAATCAACATTTATTTTTTCAATATAAACTTATGATAAAAATATTTATTACATTTTTAACATATATATTAAAAACTGAGATTAGAAAACCATTTTATAATAATTAATAAGAAAAATAAAGAATATGTTAATAAAATTCTTTATTAATTAGGTAATTTAATTAAATTTAATAAGTGATTTATAAAAATGATTGAAGTAAAATGCATTATTGATTAAAATAAAAAATATATATCATTATTTTATTAAAAAATATTATCTAGACATGCATATAATATAATATTAATTAACTAATTTACCAAAAAAATTAATTGATTAAAAAAATATATTACCACTTAAAACAAATGGAGTAGAGGCAGGAAAAAAAAACATGTAAAGGCCTGCAATGCCACACAAACCAGTAACAAACAGCGTCACGGAGTTAGTTAGCAGAAGGACTGATTTGCATCAAACGTGGGGTTGGAGGGCTCATTGGCCCCTTTTCTAGTTCAGGGGCTTGTCACCTGCTGTTGAAAAAGTTGAGGGGCTTAAGAAAGGTTTTTTCCTTTCAGAATTATCCGTTGGCTACCTGTTTGATAAAATGTCTCTGAATCCAAATCCCCAGCTGCATGCAGCTAAAAACTTCAAAAAGAAACGATTCTATTCCATGCAGAAATGAAAACATTTTGCATCTCTGACAAATAGCATCAGTATTTATAAAAAGAAACCAAAGAAAAAAAAATGTATGGTACTTTTTCAATCCAGAGTGAGGGGAGGAAACTGATAATAAAGTCGTTGGCAGCACTGTGTATAAATTACTGCTTGCAAGAGAATGCAAATGTTCTTGAAACCATCTCAACATGCTTATAACATAAATCCTGAAGCTACTCTATCACCAGGGATGTCCAAAGATAGATGCAGATTATTGATGTTGCAAGGCAAAGAATGAAAGATGCACTATTATTGATTGGGGGCTTTGCGGGCATAGGCCAGGACCATTACAAAATCCTTTGCTGAGGAACCAACAGTGACTGGAACTCGCTGTGATGTTGACATGCTTTGTAGCCAAAAATCAATTAAATTATACAACTGCCATGTGGGGACTACTGGTTTTCCCATACATTTGATCTCAACCTGCAAAAATATGTATCAAAAGAATGGTCACCAGACAGCTAAAAGGATCCAGCTTCTTTCATCATCAAATATAAGCCAAAAAGATACCTATTATGGCAAAGGTTAAAGTAACAGGCAAGGCAATTTCTTTCTTAAATGATCATTATCATACTAAATACCGGAGAAGATCACATAATCAATGTAATATAGCAAAAGTGTTAAATTATCAGGTAGTAAAAGCTGCAGATGGGAGTCAATCCCTCTTAACCCTGCTTTTCTTGGTAACACTCTAACGGCCCCTCCCTTCCAAGGAAAAAACAGAATTAAAGAGAGATATGCAAATCCTAAGAAACTTTCTAAACTGACTTCAGGAAACACATATGCATAAATGTACCGTGACATATGCCCAAAAACGCTGATGCCAGATGGGAATTATACATATTCAAAATTATGCTATAATTGATGCTAAAGAATTTCAGCCCAATAGAAATTTCCTTTTTGATTCAAAATTCTGATAAGAATGATATCAAGGAGGGATAACTGACCTCAGCCTCATTAGTGAGGTCTAGTTTCTTCATCAGGTACTTCTGGATGAATGACACAGGCATGTTTCCATCCCTGTCACGAAAAGAAATAAGTATCTCCTCAAATCAGAGTACTTCTTCCACAAAATATCAATGACAAAATTGTTTTCATATCCAGAACCAAGTAAAAATTGCAAGCAGATTAGAAGAAACACTACAAAGCAAGAATTGTTTAGCCAAAAGAGTTACATAGCCACCACACTTAAAGATAACATTGTGACATATTGCCATAAATATCAAATTTGTTTAAACTCTTGGTTTAGACATGGCCACCAACTCACACAGCCGACCTCAAATGTAAACATTCAATGCAGTCAGACCATTCTCACTAAGAAAAGAGAAGGGAAAATTCAGAGAGAAGAACACATAGGAAAAGAGCATCAGCTAGTTGTAATTGATCCAAATTGCCATGCAAAACTACTGCCCATAAGCAATAATTAGACAATATTTAGAGTTTTCCATACTCTGATGGTCCGAAAAAACCCAGTCAATAATCAATAATTAGCCAGTATATAGGGTTGCTTCTATCAGTTTTCAAGGCTGAAATTATGCATAGTTGTTATGAATATGACTGCACAAACACATACATGAATTTTGGTTCTTGTAATGGTAGTTTAAGGAAATTATTTGTAATCTTATCTACAGTTGGAAAACAAATTGAGACCAGAATCAAGGCACTTTTATTCATTTATACTAGCACAGGATCTTGGTCAGCAAGAAGAAAGATGAAATGGCCATGGAATAACGATTTGCAACTAGATCATAAGCTAACAGAAAAAGGCAAATTTCTCCAGATTTTGATAACCATATGCAGAGGCCAAAGGCTAGAACATGACCATACAGAAAACAGAACAAATGAAAGTTCAGAACCAAGGTACCAATAGATTATATGGCCTCAATTCTACAAATGATTCTCTTTAGCTAAAGGAATTGTGCACTTAAGCATAATATTGTAAGATTCATGAAACACGATGAAAATCAAAATAATAAATACATACCATATAGATCTATCAATAATTTCATCCACAGATAATGCTGTTACCATCCATAAATGTTATCTAAACCATGCATTAATAGCTGAGAGAACTCACTTTATTCTCAAGTAATTTGCAGAAATTTGAGGCAGTGGTCCATTTCCCTCCCTGAAAGTATAGATATTGAATCAGTATATAAGCAGATCAAAGCAATCATTAAGTAATTCAATTCAATTAGCAAGTCTGAAATTGATTCTCACTGGTCTTCAGAAGCTATTAGAGAGAACCAAACTGGACCAATCCTTCTTTCATGTTTACCAACAGCAGCATCCAACACATCTTGAGGTGAAATACCAGAGGTCCCAAGAGTAGCTGGCCTTTTTCGGCGGATCCTCCGTAGCTTTTTAGGAGTTACAGTTTCTGATCTGGTAGGATCAGTATTGTTCTTTTCATCCTCAACTTTCAATTTGCTTTTATCTTCCTTGAGTTTTGTTTTACCAGCTTGAGAATCATTGTTAGGGACAGCTGCAGGTTCTAATTTAGAATCAGAGCCTTGTGAATTAGACTTGAAGGACTTGGTCCGATTTGCAGCTTCCACCAAACAATTTAAAGGTTTCCAGAGATCCAATTTTCGGTCCCATGATTCACCACCAGTCTCTGATTCCTTCTTGTTTGTGGGCTGGCTAGGCTCAGCGGATGAGGAGCGCTGCAAAGTTATAAGATGAAATAATTTTTAAAATAATCAAAATAAGACTGTACTTTTTGGCCTACCAGAATTAAAGTCCTCAGAATGACAAAAACACACTGCATGTTTTTACCTGTCTTTTATTCAGAGTAAATTTATTTAGAGTTTCAGGTGAGCTTGCACTTTCTTGGTGATCATCAGCAGAATCTTCCTCTTTTTTAACAGATTTCTCAACTGAAAAACTAGAACCTCGTAAAGCAGCACCCTTTCTGGTGGCAGCTTTTGTCCTTCTTCCAGTCATAGTCTGTGGTGATACTTTTGGGGCATTAACCACCAACTGTGACAGTGATCTCTCTTTTCTTCTAGCTGGTAATGCAACAGGGGGCGCAGCTTCAGATGCCTTCATCTTTCTGTTTTTGAGAGGGAAGATTTTGGCCCTCAAATCTTGCAAATTGTGGTCGGGCCTGATAATCACACAGAAGGATAAATTTTTAACACAAAATAACTAACAAAATTTAATGGATCAAAATTAATCACTTATCTATATTAAGCATGTATAGTAATTCTCAACCAAAAGAGCTACAAAAAAGAGTCAATGCATTAATTTCTGCATACCTCGTTAAAGTAAAATGCCATACATGCAAGCATGTGTTGACCCATTCATATACACATGCAAACACCCTAATGCATACCACAGAAAAAGGAGAACAGATATGCATTAAACAGAAAACAAAAAGAATACTTTTGAATGGACACCACAGAACAAGAAACACTTTAAACTGAAAAAATCTCCCCATGCTGCTAGATTCTCGCCTGATTTGGTCACCCAATTATCAAAGTTATGTCTTGACAGCTAATGGCAAAAAGATGCGAAGCATATTGAAATATAACTGCTTTTTTACCAAAATTGCAATGCAAAACAGTACTTTTCGAAATTGGTAAAATCTCCGTTATTCTTTTGATTGGTAATTATGACTTTCCTTATGCACAAGGTGGCGTTTTGTACAACTTCATTCAAAACCTTGCCACTTTAGACTTAACTCCAATAAGAGACATCGGATATGGTAAAAAGAATATCCGACCTCAATTTTTCCAAAGGAACACAACCAAGATCGATATTGCATATTGGACAGCATTCCAGCTCCTCCTCTTGTATTTTATTGTATATGCATTTCCTGCAGACTAAGTAATATTCAAAAAAAAAAAAATCATGTCAGAAACTTCTATCCATTGAGCCTTACAAAGCATGAAAATAAAATCATACATATACCTCTTTGTAACAAATAAAAGAGGCTAGTTAAGCTTTTGAAGGCTATGAAATAGATTACAGTCTGCAGCTAGTTACCTACTTGCTACTTTCAGCTTGCACAACAACTAGAGGTCAGCCAATTAAAATTACACAAAGAAGATGAATTACAATCAGCCAAAAAACTAGAGGCTGGAAGATATATTATTATATAACAAATACTGATTCCATCTCACATAATGCTCGCAATAGCATCAACCTGAAATCCAAATGAAAAAAGAAAAAAAGAAAAAAAAGAAGTTCTTTCCATTCGCCGAACAGAAAGGAAGATAAATGCTTTGAGGTAAATGTGGATAAAATTACTGAATGCAAAATAACTACATACATGGTAGCTGGTACAATTGCCAAATTAGTACATAATTTAAGATTAAAGATTAATAATACGAAGAAATACAAAGTGCCAATGCCGCATCAACCTTGCTAGCCAGTACAATTGCCAAATAAGTGCATACATGATACTCATTAGCTACTACCTCGTTAATCAATACTTACCAATTAACCCTATTAATCTTCTTACTCTAAGGCTTCCAGTCTTCCAATATTGACAGACTAAGAAAGATGAAACAAATATCATGGGAAAAATGAAGATGGCAACCCAGTAGTAATACCCAAATCCTAATTGAGTGACAATAATATGGAAAAACCATGCGAACCCAAATAAAAAAACGCAAAGCAACAGCAACCCATCTCCCGGGAGAAGCAGAATGCAAAGAAAAATCATATAGACATACAAAATTTCAAGAATTGACACCAGGCACACTGGAATAGAAGAAATTCAAAGACCACAAGAAGGATAGATAGAAATCCCGATACTCACACGTATGAAGACATTCGGATATGGTGGTGGCTTCCCTCATGAGCTTATTGCATAGAGGACAAGTCATGCATGCCACAATCGTCTCCCGCTTCACTTTCACCACCTGATTGGCCATCTTCCTCACTCAATCCTTACAACGCCCCACACTGCATGTCAACAACACAAACAAAACACAAACAAAATTTACGTACACATCCCCATATTAACCTGCATTATTGAACCCCAGGAAAACCCCAAAACCAAATGACAATATAAACGAACAGTAGTTGCAGATTACATAACGAGAATCAAAAAGATGTGATATTGTTGTACTACAAACAGAGATAACAAGAGTGACCTGTTGGATCCGTGAAGATGAAAACAGAGGTCGGGGATTAAACTGGAGCTGAGGGTATGTCGATGGAGTAATGGAGATTTGTGGGGAGAATTGGACGTTGATTTTGGAGGAAGAAGGGAGAGGAATTAACGAGGAGAAGATGATCTGAATCTGGAGAAAGATAGAGAGAGAGAGAGAAACAGGCTCTCGTCGAAAATAAAGCATGAACCAAGAATTTCTTGCTTTTATATATTTATTTTTTTAAAAATTTTAAAAAAAGTTATTAAAAGACGAATTTTTTCAACGGCGTTGCGTCGGTTCCGCCCTAAGTGAAATGGTGTCGTTTCAGAGCCGCGCGCTCCAGGGTTCATGATTATTTTTTTTAAAGATTTTTTTAACTTATGTTTTTAGGATATATTTTTATCAAAATGATATAAAAAAATAGAAAGTTATGTAGCAACCATTTTATGTACAAGTTTAGATATTATTTAAATAATTAATTTTTTAATTTATTTTAAATTTATAATATTAAATATATATTTATTTAAAAATATATAAAAATTATATAAAAAAATTATCTTTATATTAGAAAAAAAATAAAAATTGATATAATTTTAGTATCATTGATAGCTATATGAATTTAATTAAATAATTGATAAATTAAAAATCAAAATTTATTTTCTTAACACAAATCAATAATGAAAAGGTTAATTACTATATTTATTATTATTTTTTTGTAAAATACTACTTTCTTCCTTTATTTTGAGTAAATCTAATTTAATTTTTTAACTGTTAAGACATAAATTTTAGATAAAAATT